TTGTTGAAGTTTTAAATTTTTCTTTGAAAAATGTGTGTTAGATGTGGTTTTCTTTTCAGTTTCAAAGCATTTTCTTTATTTTGCAAACGGTGCAAAATCATCTGTTTGACTATTTATTGTCTATTCTATTCCCTCTGCTTCTGTTTGTTTACCTGTCTATTTATATCTCTAGAGCAGAATGTTGCCTATGATTCCTTGATTCAATTTTAGTTCCACGTCACTTTTAGTGTTGCTTGTATAGAATGTTTTTCTGTAACCCTTTCTTTTCTCACATTTGTATAAGTTGCTCTCTATTGTTGTTACAGATTTATCTGCCCATCTAATTCCTTTTCATATATTTTGTAAAGGTGATCCTGTTTTCATAAAGCCCTTTAGTTCTTCCTTATCTGTAAATACTTTTATTTCTCTGTCATAATTTTGGTAAATATAGCATTTTTGGTTGATGTTTGTTTTCTTTCAAAATGTTGACAATATCATTCCATTGCCTTCTTGCCTGAATGATCTCCGTGGAAAAACCTGCACTTATCCTGATAGCATGGCCTTTCTATGTCACTGTCCTGATTTTGTTGGGATGCTCTCAGGATTGTTTCCTTTTCTTTAACATTGGAAAGTTTAATTATTATATGTCACCATGATTTCCTTTTAGGGCCAATTCTGTTTGGAGATCTATTGACTTTCTGCTTAGCCATTTTATGTTCTGTTATGATGCTATGAAAGTGCTAATTTCTTAGTAGCTCAGTATTTATTATTTCTTCTTTCTGTTCTGGGACATTGATCAAGAGTATGTTGTTCCTTTTGATAGTGTCCTATAGAATTCTTAGGCTATTATATATATTTGGCATTTTTATTGTTTGGGTCTTGCATTTAGTTCTTGAGCGATTTATCTTCCAGATCACTGAGTCTTGTTTCCAGTGTTTCTATCCTGCTGTTTTGTTCTTCACAGTGTTGTTGAGTTACACTGTTTTAGCTTTGCCTATTGTATTTCTGTTACAAGGTACAGTAGGATTTCTAAATTGTCACTCATTTTATCAGAATGTTCCTTTAAGGCATTCCTGAATTAC